GAAGTATAAATTAAATTATTATAAAAAAGTGATATCGAAGTATTTTATATTTTTGAAGTCTGTAAACTGTATATGCTTTATTAAACATATGTTCAAAAAGTGGCAATGTTAAATTTTGCATATACTATATAAAAAATTATAATGTTAGATTTATACTTATATGGAATCTTATGGTCGTCAAATTAAAACCAGTAAATAACCAATAAATGATCCTCATATGAGTAACTATAAAATCCTAACCATTAAAATTTTTTTATATATCATATATAATATGTAATGTTGTTACGTTTTTAATATATGCATCATAAAGCATAACAGTTTGCAAACTTCGAAAATTATAAAATACTTCAGGAGAAATAAAAATTTGAACGATATCATCACTTTTTTATAATAAATTTAATAGGAAATGGTGATTTCGGAAAATTCGGAAAAATCACTATAAGAAAATTTGATCTTCACTATATAACTCGCACTGTCAAACCGGTATGAGATACCCCAATGAATTATGTATGTAGTATTTCCGATTTGTAATTGTTAGAGCTCATTATAGATCATTAGAGTCTATCATAGTAACGACGTAATGTCTTCGATTTATCATTTTAGGATATCAAAATTTTCCTAATCAAATGATTTATCTCGCAAAATCGTGGACGCGATAATTTCGTCATCTCACGGAAAATTATACTTAATTTTGGTCATATAGATAGCCCTCTTTTAATGGTTGGAGTTAGGTTCTTTCGTGTTAGAGTAAGGACAAGGTGTAGAAAAAGCAGCTTTGGTTAAATGTTTTATTTTACAAACTGAAATTTCACGTTCACGTGATCGCATATTTCTCAAAATTTTGCATACGTGCTCTAACGAAAAGTTTCTCTCAAGCAATTTTACTTCATATCCCACCAATACCGAGTCCATAAACAAATTTTAAATTATTTTTTGATATCACGCGAACGTGAAATTTTTATGGTGGTGCTAGTCATTCGCCATGACTAATCTATCCGTACCGTACTATTTTACAATATATTCCATGCACGCAGGTAAGATCGAATTTACTTGTTTTCGTGAGTAATAACTTATAAACCCTCCCCCAAAAAAAGAAATTTAGCATGAAATAATCCAAGTACGTGAAGATAGAAATTTTAGTTTGAGAGATGTAGGGATAAAGTGTCTGTATATTTTATTTCCGACATTTTTTAATTAGTATACCAAGGTCAAATTATAGATATTAGTTTTCGAGTATTTCCGTTTTTCTTTGCTTTTTTTCCTTCTCCCCTTATAAATATGTACAATGAAAATCAAGTCTTTCCTGAATTAACTTACGTACATACTGATAATCGTATAGATACTTATTTCGATGTGCTGCTTGATTATGCATTAACTTTATAAACAAATATGTGGGTTCAAAAAAATCAGATGAATTTTCATACAAGAACCTGAACAATGAAAATAAGGGTCCAAAGTGAACGGGTCTAATGTGAAAATCATTGCATATAAGACCTAAATTTTGAAAATTTTCACAATTTAAAGTGGTTATGTATTTAAATGTTATCACTGTATATATGTATTATCTTATACATTTTATATTATTCCCTTTCGCTTAATGAAGCTTTCTTTTAACCAAGATACAGTTTGACTAGATTAAACATGATATTTATCAATATTGTAATATTCATTCTATTTTAAACTAATAAGATTATCTTACACCAAACTAGTTAAAATTACTTTCAGAAATTGGCAAAAGTAATTATAATTCCTACACATACAGTATGGAACAGCATATCCCGACAACTCAAATTAGCTTTTTCAAAAACATTCAACTAGTAATTCAAATTTAATTTAATTGAAAAAAAAACATTTTAGCCAAAATGGATATTTTATTAATATTGGCTAAATTAGTTTCTTAAATTATTATATTTGATTAAAAGCTTTTAACAATTCAAAGTTTATATGTAAATAAAAATTTGGCCGCCATGAATAAAAAAAAAAAAATCACTTAGTTTTATATTATTTTATCTATTTTTTGTGTACCATAGATTAAAATTGACCGTTTTTATTTAAACGTTATTGGGACTTACTATCCCGTATCGTAAGATGTTAAGGGAATTATTAAAAGTAATACGTACATTAACCGTCAAAGAAAATGAAATAATTTTAGACATTAAAACTTGTTTTTATTATGTACAATATTTCTCGCAATCTAAATAATCCACGATAAATTTTGATTGTAAAATTTTTCACAATTCAGTCCTCTATATTTATTTTTTTGGGCCCTTATTCTCGTTTTTCGGGCCCTTTGATGTAAACTCCCCTTCCCCCAAAAAATAATCACCTGCTTTTTTTAAATAAATTTTTTCTGTGACCATTGTAACAAATAGCAGATATTTCTACAAACGCAATTAATTTGTACATAACTTGTAAAATTTTTTTAAGAAAAACAAAAAAAAATGTCACAACTTTCGGACTCAAGTATCTTTAAAGGATCTATTCTTGATTCTTTCGAGAAAAACGGATATATATCTATCCCTCCATCTCCAACTCCGCCTCCAACTCCGCCTCAAAATTTTTTTGAAAAAGCAAAAAAGTTAGTTTCTGATAACCCAAAAGCCACGGCTGGTGCATTAACTGTGAGCGGCCTTGTTCTAGGTCCACTTGCGTTTGTTGGTTTGGTAAGTGCGGTTGGATTCGGTTCAGGTGGTATAGCAGCTGGATCAATTGCAGCATGGATGATGTCATTGCAAGGTGGTGCTACCGCTGCGGGTAGTCTCGTAGCTATTCTGCAATCAGTTGGTG